TGATTGATTTGTAACTTACTTGATTTAATAATAAAAATTATTTATTTATTATTATTATTTATTTATTTATCCATTCTATCTAAAAAGTATATTTATTTATTTTTTAATTAAGATTATAAAAAACCAAAATCGTTAAACCATTATGTTTTTTACAACAAACAAGCAAAACAACTTAACATGTTCACATTTAAAATAATCAAAAACAGCGGTTTTAGAAAAGTTTAGAAGACTTTTTAGTTTTTTTCTAATAAACAGTTCTAACAAATAACTGGTTTTAAAGTAGGTTGGAAAAGAAAAAAGAAAAATGTGAAATTCTTTGGCTGAAACAAAAGAAAAATTTTTGACAAGACTTCAAAAATTCTCGGCAAATATATCAGAAGAAATAAAATATCGTAAAAATATTGGAATATAAATTTTCAGTGTTATTCAATAATTCAAAATGGTTTTCGGACTTGGAAGAAGTAAGTTTCTGACTAATAAATACAATAAAAAAGTAAAACTTTACAGTCTTGTCTATTTGTGCTTACTATTTTATTATGTTATTAGCTTTCGCCCGCGACTGCGACCACGTAGAATTAAAAAAGTAGCCTACGCGTTCGTCCAGACTATCCTCTACATCTGTACCAAATTTAATCGAAATCCGTTCAGCCGTTTAGGCTACAAATTCAAACATCAATCCATCCATCTATCTAAATTTTCGAATATATTTTCGAAAAAATATTAGTAAGATTAGTAAGATAATTTGTCTTAAATGAATATTTGTAACTCTGTAAGATTTTCTTTATTTCTAGCTAAATCAGAGCCATGCAGAATGATGGCTCCCCAACCTGAAAAATTAAATTTAAACATATCTCTCTTTGGTGCGATATCATCCCTCCTACTCTGCATATGTGATATTTTAAATGGAATTTGTTATGTACTAATATTTCTGTGTAGCGTTTGTTTACAACTCCTTTATTGTGCAATGGCATGTTAATCTAAATTGTTTAAAGAATAGTTTTAATTGTAACTGAAAATTATTTAAAAATGTGATGTTTTGTAAGTTTGAAATGAATAAGTATATTGGTGAAGATATTCCTTTTATTTTAATGTTGACAATTGTCTGTTTTTGAAAGAGAAGAGACAAATCTCTTAACCCCACTACATATGTTCAGTTTTAACTGAAATCTGCTTAGTTACGTCGTGTTTAAGTGTCAGTTGAACTGTCCAGGTAACTGAACTGAGCGTATTTAGCGGGCTTAGTTTTGGGATCACAAAATGTGGACAAATAATATCCCCTATTCAATTTTCATCCTTCAGAACAGTTCCGTCAGTAGTCGTCATTATGCACAGTCGGGGAAATTGGTGTTGAACCTCAAAACTACAATTGTTTGAGCATTTTGATACTGACATAAAATCGATACAACGCAGCTTATAATTATGTCTGTACGAATAAAGGCACGAATATCGATTATAGTTTGTCTAAATAAAATGGATTAGTTTGACAAATCATTTGAAATTGAGTAGGCATGGATTATGTATAATCAGTCATGAATCTTGTTGATGTTCGATTTTTATCTTTAAAGAAGTTGGAATCGATAGATTCATAATTACAACTTCGGAATTAATAATCACCTACAGAACCATTAGAAATAATGAGAGAAAAAAATATTTAAAACTACTACAGTCGTACGTAATCGAATTGGATTTCGTTATTATTTCTGTCATCGCTAAATTCCATACACTCTAATCAATACTAGATATGTCCTCTGAATTAGTTAAAAAAATAATAATTATTTTAGTTAAGTTCGATAAATTTTATTTAAACCGAATATCGATAGTTCATAATTGTTCGCTATGCGTGTTTCTTTCGTCATTACGATATCTGTCTATTAAGTACGGTATTTATCTTCATACAAATTTAATTCGATACTTTATATGCGTCATTTATCATGACATGTTATGCGACGAAATGATGGGGACATAAACCAGAAAGTGTTAAGATTGAATGTGGATGGCTACAAAGGAAGAGGAAGACCGAAGAAAGTATGGATGGATTGTGTGAAAGAGGATATGCTTAAGAAAGGAGTGGATTCAGATATGACGGCTGATAGAGATGTATGGAAGAGCAGCACATACTGTGCCGACCCTCCATAAGGGATAAGGGCAAGTGGATGATGATGAATATGCGTCAATTATCAAACTAATCTATCTTATTCGATAAACTATAGTGATATACGTCTAGTTACTTTTTATTATCTCTTCGTTTGCACTCACTGCTGTCTAATTAGTTTATTGTAAGAAGAGGCGGAGTTCGTCTCGTTGCAAAAACAATGCAATGTCTCCTGAAGTGAAACACTGCGAATTTCCGCGAGTGTACAATAAATATATTGCAATACTTATTCATGAGTTAAATATGTTCTCAAAACACATTTCTGAGAATACTTTAGTTTACAGAAGACAAGATATATGAACACTCCAGTGGTATTGCTAAGCTACGAACAGACTGCAGTAAATCTACATTGTTTATGTTGAATACGTTTTTCTAAGAAATGTTAGACGTTACACTTTATATATCTTAGTATTGACTCGTTGTTACAGTTTAAAACGTTACAAGGACAATTGCTCGTAGTTACCTGTTTGTTTTATTTATAGAACGATATTGTGTTCTTCCAGACAGTGAGAGTCAAAATGGCGGGTGTAACTTAAGTTCGTAATAATTTCGTTATAAAGAAGGAACTATTTTTTTGAGCGAGGTACTAAATAGTACATATTAGGTACATTTTTTAGTAAGTGGTATAATTTAGTTTGCTATGGTACACCCGCCATTTTCACACACTCCAGCCAGTGTTTCATATCTTTCTTACAGATTGACCCAATCGTTTTGCACCTAACTTGTAACAACACCTATCCATTCAAACTTTCGCGTTTATTAGAAAATCATCTTTTTAACGACTTTTTTAGTTATGAACGTGGAGGGGTACACCGGTAGAGGTAAACCTAGAGATGGAGTATGAAAGGTGACATCAAGAAGGGAGTGACGATTGAGATGACGGATGATACAGTTATTTGGAGGACAAAATCCTGTTGCCCCACTACGGGAGTAGGATAAGGAGGATGATGATGATCTTTTTTACGACATATGTGTTTCAGCAGTGGAAACGCAATGTTAGATAGCATTGTAACACAAATCTACATTCAAGCACCTCTTATCTGAACCACAAGAAAAATTTAAGATTTAGTAAACTTTAAAGCTAGAAATACATTGTTTAGAACCGACCTTGAGTGTGATACAAGGAGATAGCATCCCAATTATAATTGAGTGCTAACTTCTATGATGTTTGTTTATATCATATTTTATTATAACATAAATACATCATAATTTGTGATTTATGATATTTTAGTGCCTCCTAAAGTGAGTTATTGTAAAGCAATATGAGAGTTATGTTCGTTTTATGGCCGTTAGATACAATTTTATTGACCATTATATTGTAACAGTAGTGAAACAATAATATTATTTTATTACTCCTTTACAAATGCTAACAGCAATCACAGGTTCAAATGAGATCTTAACCAGAAATAGAGCGGACGTTTCCCTACAAAAATGTTTTACAAAAATAATTATGACATATTTTGAGGAGGGATGAATCGCATGTAACAAGGAGAACGTTAGTTATGAGTGTGGTACAGCGGTAGAGGTAGACCTAACAAGAGGTGGATTGCATGAAAGGTGACATGATCAAGAAGGGAGTGATGACTGAGATGACGTATGATAGAGTTATGTGGAGGACAAAAACCTGTTGCCCCACTACGGGAGTAGAATAAGGAAGATGATTTTTTTATGACGATGAAAATACCGCTATGTTCGTAAGTTATATGAAGGGTATGCCTGGCAGGCAACAATTTGGTATGGCCACATTAAAAAAAATCGAACTGGTGTATTGGACAGATATTTCTTGGTTTACCGCTTAATGGATCTCAGATGCAGAATATATAGGCTACTTATTATTATTTTTAATTACGTGCAGACGAAATCGCGGACAATAGTTACTGTACTGAAAATGTAAACTTTTACTTTGAAATTTTAAAAGACAGATATTGATAAATTATGATCGAAGAGTAGTTTTTCCGCATGCTACAGTAAGGGCGTGTCCCACCAAATTGTATATTGTCTGATAACTATTCAACGTGTAAAATATGTGATGGAATTATCGGATTTTGTTATCTTATCTGACAGTGACGTTTTTAAGCTATCTGAGCCTCTAGCAGCCAGTGGTGGGACAGTCCCTTAAACTTTTATCTTAATAAGTACTGATGTAAAGTGTACCTGTAATAAATATGAACTTTTTTTTTCGAATAAACCTTACTCCTCGTCCATGATTCGAATGTAAAGTGATTTCTCCGAGACGGGAGATTGTAAATTTGCAATTTGCCGCAAAGTTGAATCTTGACTGGATTAAATTGTGCCGTCAAACAATTTAATATAACTACAACTTTATTTCAATGGATTTATTATTTTTGTTTTAGTTTGCGAAGGAATAAAATTGTTTAACTTGGTGAAGTTTGAAGCGACAGTAAGCGAAGCGTTTAACTAAAGTACTACTGCAACAAAAATTAACTTGTCTAATATTCCTTACAAATATAAACTTTGAGGTTATTTTGCCATTAAATTATGTATTTTTTTGTCACAGGTAATAACAAGTATTTATATTTTCAGTAAGAAAACCTTAAAGGTAACAACAATCTGGTTTACGATGTATTTTATTTGATAAAATTGTATAAACAATTATGGTTACCAATAAAAGTTATCCTGCCAAATTTTATAGTCACCGCAGTCGCCCATCAAGGGTGTAATGACTTTTGTGTAAGATATTTCGTTTTATAACAATAAGGATGGGATAATACAATAAATTTAATGAGTGAGTGAGAGAGAGAATAATGTAGTGAGAGTACTTTTTTGATTACATTACATTAACAACATTTTTGACTATAACTTAAGTTCAGCACTTGAATCGTTCCATCCAGATTGTCCAATATTTAAAAATAAAACTAAATACACATTTTTCATTTGAAATTCACACACATACTCGTGAAATACACTGCAGATTTTAAAGTATTTCTAAACGCTACATTGCAAAGAAAAAAAATTAATTTAACAACTGAAAAATTACAGCAACCAAAAAAGTCGTCGACTATTGAAGTGTTTGAACAATGTAAATAAATCACATTTTACCGTTCATTAAACTTTTCATCCAGACATTGGAAAACTTTCAAAGTAAATGGTAGAGCGCACTTAAATTGACGAAAGCGATAAAAACTGATAGCTTAGGAAGCTTAAGTGGAGACGTGGTATTTAAGTTTGGAAAAAAAACGTTCGAATTGATGAAGCGTTAAGTAGTTACTTAAGTTTGAATTTGTAATAACTCTGATCAAGTTTTATAACCTAACTTATTCTTATTAGATTAATAGGGTTGACTAAATTTAAGAAAATCATACTCATACTAATATTATAAATGCGAAAGTTTAGATGGATGGATGGATGTTTGTTAGAATTTGTAGCCTAAACGGCTGAACGGATTTTGATGAAATTTGGTATAGATGTAGAGAATAGTCTGGAAGAACACATAAACTCACTCTACTCACTTTTGTTTTTTTAATACCACGCGGACGGAGTCGCGGGCAGAAACTAGTAATTTCATAATCTTGCAAGAATATTCATCACTTGCTTTTGTCCTTAAGAAGGGTCGGCACGGTATGTATTGCTTTTCTATACAACTCTAGCAGCCTTCATATCTAATCCACATCTTATGGATATCCTCTCACACAATCCAATAATACTTACTTCTGTCTTCCTCTACCGTGGTACCTTTCTTGTTTATGTGAACAACATCAAGCAAAAACTCAAAGACCTTTAAAAATATACAGACGAGGCATACTGAACAAAAATTTTTCCCCGTTACTTTCTCTGAAAGGTACTATATCAGTTGTCAAGTTTAGTGCCATATGTGTCTTGTAACACGTAGTAAAACATTTTACAAAATTATGATAAGCTCTATCTTAAAGTTTCAAGTACAATATCAACCATGCCTCCTCTA